TTCCTGCCTCAGCCTCCCAAGTAGCTGGCATTACAGGCACTCGCCACCACGCCCGGCTAACTTTTGTATTTTCAGTAGAGACAGGGTTTTACCATGTTGGTCAGGCTGGTCTTGAACTCCTAACCTTGTGATCCGCCTGCCTTGGCCTCCCAAAGTGCTGGGTTTATAGCTGTGAGCCACCACGCCCGGCCTAGCTTCATTTACAGTTAATATACATCAGTGTTAACTCTCATTGACTGTACCACAATATTTTTTTCTTAATAAACTTTTAATTTTGGAATAGTTTCAGCTAATGCAAGGAGTTCCTGTGTATACTTTCCCCAGTTTTCCCTGATGTTAATATCTTATATAAGCATGGTACATTTGTCAAAACTAAGAAATTATTACTAACTAAACACAAGGATTTAAGTTGCACCAGGTTTTCCACTAATGTCCTTTTTTCCATTCCAGAATCCAAACCAGAATACTGCATCGAACCACTTGGGGTCAGTTTGGCTTATTTGAGGGCTGTGTACATGAAGAACTGTGTGTAACCTGTTCTTTCTTCATTATTCTCTTTCCAATAGTGTTCTCCGATTTTAAGGACTTGATTGGTCAGATTTTAATGGAAGTGCTAATGATGTCCACTCAGACTAGAGATGAAAACCCATTTGCCAGTCTGACAGCCACATCACAGCCAATTGCTGCAGCAGCACGGTCACCAGACAGAAATCTCCTGCTAAACACTGGCTCCAATCCGGGAACAAGCCCCATGTTCTGCAGCGTGGGTTCCTTTGGTGCCAGCTCTTTGTCTAGGTCAGTGCGGTTCTCTTTGCACATCTAACTGCTAGTAAAAGAGTCATGAAGTACACAGGTAAAGGGAATATTTGTTTACAATGTTGATCTGTGCCACGGAGGGTATGGCATATATCATATTTGGGGAGGTGGTTTTAGTCACTGAAAGTGGAACTCTCTTTTTTAGATTGTTATTTTTTGGCTCTCTATGGTTGAGCTATTGGTAGATGAAATTTTAGAACCAGTTGGCTGTGTGTACTACATCATTCTTTGAAAGGGGGCCTCTAGATCAATAGAGTAATTAGATTATAATTATTTAGATGCTTATCTGATAGATCTGTATACGTAAACGGAAATGATTTTATCCTTTAAAAGCTTGATGTTTTCTCTTTTTGTTAGTTATCTCAAATTTTTCTTTGATTTTTCTCTTCTTTCCTCCCTTTTCTCAACTCATTTAGCCTCTATGAAACTAGTCCGGCTCCCACCCCCAGTTCCTGGAGCTCTGTGCCCGTGATGGGCCCGTCTTTTGCCTCACCTTCCCGTGCAGCCAGCCAGCTGGCTGTGCCTTCCACTCCCCTCAGTTCTAGTGCAGCCTCTGGAACTGCTGCAGGAAGCCAGCCCCCATCCCCGCGGTATCGCCCCTACACTGTCACTCACCCATGGGCATCCTCAGGTGTCTCCATTCTGTCAACCTCCCCAAGTCCCCCTGCTCTCACCAGTAACCCCCAAGCAGTGCCCACCAGCAGTTCCAGACAGAGGCCCAGCAGCACGGGTCCACCCCTACCACCCGCCTCACCCAGTGCCACGAACAGACACCCCTCCTCCCTGAGGATCTCTCCTAGGTATTTATCCCGCAGGAGAATTGCGTGTGTGTTTGCCGTGCAGGGAAAGGAGATTAACACGGTTTGGAAGAACTGCTGTGTGACACTGACTCTGTTTAATTGTTGTTGTTTTGGGTTATTAACCTGTGTGGCTAACTAGTTTGGTAGGCACGTACCCTGAGATAATGCCGGAAAGTTTGAATTGCTCTCTTATGAGTCCCTTTCTTCCCTTTGAGAGTTGGGGGTCACAGGAACCCTTTTTGGCTTTTTGTCCTGTTGCCAGTGGTAATTGAAATGGAGTCAGACCAACAGGGTGTGGGAGCAAATCTGGGCCTGGTGTTTTTTACTTCTGTTGAGTGGGGTGAGTCGGTTCATGCCCTGACATGTTGAGTTTTAGTTGTGCATAAGTTCAGTCTCTTAGAAGAAAGCAGTATCAGAATTCCATGAATCCAGTGGCCCCTTCTCTCAAATGTTCCTATATGTGTTTCTATAATTTAGATGAATTATGTTTCTGCATGTCAGTGGACAGAAGTTTTAGTGTAAGATTTATTTAAAAGGTCAACATTTGCAAAAGTTTCTCCTCCTCTTGTTTTACCTTTGTTCTCTGATGGCCTTTTTTGCTTTTGTTGTGGTAGTATGTACGACAATCCTTTCTCCTTCCTCTTCCTCGCACTTTCTGGGGACAGTAGTGATGAAGAAGATGAAGAAGATGATGGTGATGGTGATGGTGATGATGAAGGTGGTGGTGGTGGTGATGATTTTTCTTGTGTCCAGTTTGGGTCCAGGTATCAGAGGAATGGAGTCTTACCCCTGCATGTGCATAGATGCTTAGGAACTAACTACTATAAGCTCTAACAAGGGGTGTGCTTTGAGTCCAGGCAGGATAGGGTCAAATGAGGTAGGCTTGAGAGTATATTGACGTGTTCAGACCTTTTCATGGGATAAAATAGCACATAGGAGAACTAACTTCCTTCCTTCCTTCCTTACTTCCTTCCTTCCTTCCCTCCTTCCCT